TCAAGGCGGAAGCTGCGGGTTCGAGCCCCGTCAGTCCCGGCGGCTCCAATAAAAAGACATCAATCAATTTATCTCTCCCTTGTATGACTATGAAATATGACTAGGAAAAAGTTCATATAACTATCAAAAAGTCCCGGGGGCACAATTTTCTTTCCAAACTAACAACTAAAAAAGGGCTCTTTATTTCCCTTTTCTTTCTCTTTTTGGCAAGAAAAGGGGTGTATTAGTACAATTATTGGTAGCATTAATTATTGGTAGCATTATAGTAAGGATTCCAAGTCTGCTTTTTCGATTATTCTAGATACCTGGAAATATTTATATATACCTGGATATAGGGTAATCTATTTATATAGTTTATTTTTGTTGTTTGTATTTGTAACTAATTAAAGTGAAATAGAAGAGCGATCTCATGATACTTGATCAGAGGATTGTACATCAAAAAATCAAAGGTAAGTTATAGAAAAAAGAACGGAACCAAATAAAGATAAAGGAATTTTGGATTGGTTCACGAATCGAAATTGGGTCGGTACGCATAAAAAAACCTCCTATGTTATACTATTCCGTTTTTGATTTTGACGACGAATTTTTTTGGTAACAATTTTTTTGGTAACTCAGGTATTGTTATTCATGATATGGATCCGATTTAAAAACATTAATTAATAGGTAATTGATTCGAAAGAGTTATCATCTCTAGGGGATTAAATCCCGAGTTATTGTAAAATAAAAAAAGCTTAGATTATGGAAGTAAATATTCTTGCATTTATTGCTACTGCGCTATTCATTCTAGTTCCTACGGCCTTTCTGCTTATAATTTACGTAAAAACAGTCAGTGAAAATAATTAATTTCAATTAAGCTTCATTTATAAGTTCTTATCAAAAATGAATGAAAGGAATTCCAATTTTCGCGTCTTAAAAATAAAGGAAATAGGCGAATTATGATCGGGGTAGTATTCTAATAGATAGACCATATGGTCTATCTATTAGAATTAGTAGAATGTATACTGTGGAAAGTTCTACTTTAAAATATACAAAAAATTTTTAAATTATAAAGCAAGCCATAAGTGTGTAATACGGGACTCGCCTGAGAAAGGATTCTCTTATGTATAATATCTTGCTCGACAACCGCGATGTCTCTGCGTATACCGCTTGTAATAGTCATAGAAAGGACATAGATTTTCAAAATTGTCAATTAAAGAGGGAATAATTTACTCAGTACTCATTTCTAACTCCGGTAACAACCCGTTGATTGAAATATAACATCTCGCAAGACTTGTTATTCTAATGAATTTCCTTTACTAAGTATTCCGAAAGAAATACAAAGATGGCAATTGGTGAAATATCTGTTTGATTGAAAAAGTGTGATTCATATAATGGATTTCTCTATCCGAATCGAATGGAATTCAAAATGAATATTTTTTTCGTTTTATTTTTAATTTAAAACGCGATTCAGAACGATCTAGAAACCAATTGATACAGTTTTATTAATTAGTAATACTCCTAGAGTCCACTTCTTCCCCACACTACAAGTGAAAGGGAAAATGTAAAGACTACCATTAAAGCAGCCCAAGCGAGACTTACTATATCCATGTGAATTATGTCCCCTTATCTCTATAAACTATAAATAGGATCTCTATAAATATATAAATATGAAGGAATTTTACTATTCCTCAATACTAATAGTATAGTGGAATCAATGGTGCAGAGTCAAAAAAGGATTAGAGCCGAACACTATTGATATAACACTGTAATAAATGATATAACACTGTAATAAACCAACTGATTTAATTTAATAAATTAATAAATAATAATAAAAATTCCTAGATGATTTTGAAACATGAAATTTAAATAAAGGGAAAGACAAATCTGAAGCAAAATAAGTCATAACATCGCTCGAAAATGTTACTAATAGAAAAATATAGGAAAAAAGTCCTTTTTGGTTGTTGATGCTCATAAGTAAAAAGCCTAAAAAGAAAATCAATATTTCATTTTCTATTTGATCGAATACGTAACCCGTTTCAACGATCTCTGTAAAAAAGTGTATAGATAATATATGGTGTTGCCCCAAAAAATGTCTTTCCATTTATTATTGTAGTCGAAGAGTATCCCGAAGTTTTGACAACCCCTCGACCTTTGGATTGGAATATATCTTCGAATCCTCGATTTACACTCTTTTCGAAAACCCTACTCGGCTATTTCGACGAATCAAACAAGTATAAACAGTCCCTTTTCTATGCTTCTGGTGCGAACCAATTGGCTGAGTTATATCAGCCGAGCAGAAGTAGGTTTCACACCTTTTGTTGATTTGATCAGGCGACACCCGGATTTGAACTGGGGAAAAAGGATTTGCAGTCCCCCGCCTTACCACTCGGCCATGCCGCCAAAACAATATAAAATTAGTGAAATATGTCCTGTATTACTGCACATACTTTTTTTGTATTTATTGTGTATTTATCTTGTATTTATTGTGTATTTAGTGTATGTGTACGCGGAGCGCATCGGGAGTTCCTTTTTTTTCATTCCTTTCTTTCCTAATTTATCCCTTTTTTGCCCAAAAGAAACAGCTCGGCTTTTTTTTTCAATTGGATTTGATAAGCTCTTCTAGAGTATCTCTAAATAACCGAATTCTCCCACTTTCGAGTAAAAACCGATTGTAAGTTTTCGTTCGAAAAAGTCAAACAAATTGGAACCATTAACTATTGATTACTGACTGCGAATGCAGAAACAATTTGAATCTCAAAGTTTTTTCTTTTCTTAATAATTTAATAATATAATAAATTGATACATTAATATTGAACTATAACTATTGAGTTAGAAATTATAAAAACCTTCTCAATTTAAATTATACCACTAATTATGAGTATATGTAAACCCCAGCCCTAGTACCGAAATGTATATTTCTTATTTTTGATTTTATATATATATGATATATATAATAGCTCTAAGAATTGAATACGATTTGTATTTTCTTTTAATAGAACACAAACCCTCTTATTACAAATTACAAATATGAACATCAATAAAATCGAAGAGAACAGCAATATGTCCATACGTGTTTAATAATTAAAAACCGCTCTTCGATTTAGACTCTTATATTTATAAGTATAGAATAGATTTCTATTAGTATAGAAAACTTCACATATGTGAATATCATAATAATGAGAATGATAGAAATTCAATCATTTTTTGTTGATATTCTCTACAAAGTTCTATAACTTAACCTTATTAAGATTAAGTGGCAATTTTTTTTATAGAACTTTTTTACCAATTTCTTTCCATTTGTATCCGTTTAAAATTTCAATTTAAGTAGAAAATGCTTTTTTTCCACTCATACGTATTTCATACATTCTATTCCAGATATGGAGTTGGGTAAAATTTCATGTGATTCAGTAAACAGAATATAAATTCCATCGTTGCTAGATCATTTATACAATTTGGTGAAGAATGAATCAAATCAATAGTGGGATTTTTTGATAAATGGGAAATTGAAAATGCTAGGGGATGGAAATGAGGGAATATCTACAATACCTGGATTGAATCAGATACAATTTGAAGGGTTTTGTAGGTTTATTGATCAGGGTTTGACAGAAGAACTTTCTAAGTTTCCAAAAATCGAAGATACAGATCAAGAAATCGAATTTCAATTATTTGTGGAGACATACCAATTGATAGAACCGTTGATAAAGGAAAGGGATGCTGTATATGAATTACTCACGTATTCCTCTGAATTATATGTATCCGCGGGATTAATTTGGAAAACCGGCAGGGATATGCAAGAACAAACAATTTTTATTGGAAACATTCCTCTAATGAATTCCTTAGGAACTTTTATAGTAAATGGAATATATAGAATTTTGATCAATCAAATATTGCAAAGCCCTGGTATTTATTACCGGTCAGAATTGGACTACAATGGAATTTCAGTGTATACCGGTACTATAATATCAGATTGGGGAGGAAGATCAGAATTAGAGATTGATATAAAAGCAAGGATCTGGGCTCGTGTAAGTAGGAAACAAAAAATATCTATTCTAGTTCTATCATCAGCTATGGGTTCAAATCTAAGAGAAATTCTAGAGAATGTTTCGTATCCTGAAATTTTTTTGTCTTTTCTGAACGATAAGGAGAGAAAAAAAATTGGGTCAAAAGAAAATGCGATTTTAGCATTTTATGAACAATTTGCTTGTGTAGGTGGAGATCCGGTATTTTCTGAATCCTTATGTAAGGAATTACAAAAAAAATTCTTTCAACAAAGATGTGAATTAGGAAAAATTGGTCGACGAAATATAAATCAAAGGCTAAACCTTGATATACCCCAGAACAATACATTTTTGTTACCACGAGATATATTGGAAGCCGCAGATCATTTGATTGGGCTGAAATTTGGAATGGGCACAGTTGACGATATGAATCATTTGAAAAATAAACGTATTCGTTCTGTAGCAGATCTTTTACAAGATCAATTTGGGTTAGCTCTGGTTCGTTTAGAAAACGCGGTTCGCGGAACTATTGGTGGCGCAATTCGACATAAATTGATACCGACACCCCAAAATTTGGTAACTTCAACTGCATTAACAACTACTTTTGAGTCTTTTTTCGGTTTACACCCACTATCTCAAGTTTTGGATCGAACCAATCCATTGACACAAATAGTTCATGGGCGAAAGTTGAGCTATTTGGGCCCTGGGGGCTTAACAGGTCGAACTGCTAGTTTTCGGATACGAGATATCCATTCCAGTCACTATGGGCGTATTTGCCCAATTGATACATCGGAAGGAATCAATGTTGGACTTATTGGATCCTTATCAATTCATGCGAAGATCGGTCGTTGGGGATCCCTAGAAAGCCCGTTTTATGAAATTTCTGAGAGATCCACCGGGGTACGAATGCTTTTTTTATCCCCGGGTAGAGATGAATACTTTACGGTAGCAGCGGGAAATTCGTTGGCGTTGAATGGGGATCTTCAGGAAGAGCAGGTTGTTCCAGCTCGATACCGTCAAGACTTCTTGACTATTGCGTGGGAAAAGGTTCATCTTCGAAGTATTTTTCCCTTCCAATATTTTTCTATTGGAGCTTCCCTCATTCCTTTTATCGAACATAATGATGCGAATCGGGCTTTAATGAGTTCGAATATGCAACGTCAAGCAGTTCCACTTTCTAGTTCCGAGAAATGCATTGTTGGAACCGGGTTGGAACGACAAGCAGCTCTAGATTCAGGGGCTCTTTATATAGCCGAACGGGAGGGAAGGGTCGTTTATACCGATACGGACAAAATAATTTTATCGGGTAATGGGAGTACTCTAAGCATTTCATTAGGTCGGTATCAACGCTCGAATAAAAATACTTGTATGCACCAAAAAGCACAGGCTCCGCGGGGTAAATGTATTAAAAAGGGGCAAATTTTAGCTGACGGTGCTGCTACCGTTGGCGGAGAACTTTCTTTGGGAAAAAGTGTATTAGTAGCTTATATGCCGTGGGAGGGGTACAATTATGAAGATGCAGTACTCATTAGTGAACGTTTGGTATATGAAGATATTTATACTTCTTTTCACATACGGAAATATGAAATTCAGACCCATGTCACAAACCAAGGTCCTGAGAGGGTCACTAATGAAATACCCCATTTAGAAGCCCATTTACTACGTAATTTAGACAAAAACGGAATTGTGATGTTGGGATCTTGGGTAGAAACGGGTGATATTTTAGTAGGTAAATTAACGCCTCAGGTGGTGAAAGAGTCGTCGTATGCTCCAGAAGATAGATTGTTACGAGCTATCCTTGGGATTCAGGTATCTACTTCAAAAGAAACGTGTCTAAAACTACCTATAGGTGGTAGGGGTCGGGTTATTGATGTCAGATGGATCCATAAGAAGGGGGGTTCTAGTTATAATCCAGAAACGATTCGTGTATATATTTCACAGAAACGCGACATTAAGGTCGGAGATAAGGTAGCTGGAAGACACGGAAATAAGGGTATTATTTCCAAAATTTTGCCCAGACAAGATATGCCTTATTTGGAAGATGGAAGGCCCGTTGATATGGTGTTTAACCCGCTAGGAGTACCTTCAAGGATGAATGTAGGACAGATTTTTGAATGTTCACTTGGGTTAGCCGGAAGCCTGCTAGACAGACATTATCGAATAGCGCCTTTTGATGAGCGATATGAACAAGAAGCTTCGAGAAAACTGGTGTTTTCTGAATTATATCAAGCTAGTAAGCAAACAGCGAATCCGTGGGTATTTGAAGCTGAATATCCAGGAAAAAGCAGAATATTTGATGGAAGGGCGGGGAATCCTTTTGAACAACCCGTTTTAATAGGAAAGCCTTATATCTTAAAATTAATTCATCAAGTTGATGATAAAATCCACGGCCGCTCAAGTGGACATTATGCACTTGTTACACAACAACCCCTTAGAGGAAGGGCAAAGCGGGGGGGACAGCGGGTAGGAGAAATGGAGGTTTGGGCTCTCGAAGGGTTTGGTGTTGCTCATATTTTACAAGAAATGCTTACTTATAAATCGGATCATATTAGAGCTCGACAGGAAGTACTTGGTACTACAATCGTTGGAGAAACAATACCTAAACCCGAGGGTACTCCCGAATCTTTTCGGTTACTTGTTCGAGAACTACGATCTTTAGCTCTGGAACTGAATCATTTCCTTGTATCTGAGAAAAACTTCCAGATTCATAGGAAGGAAGCTTAATCGGAATGAATCAGCATTTCTCTTTTATGATCGATAGATATAAACATCAACAGCTCCAAATTGGATCAGTTTCACCTCAACAAATAAGTGCTTGGGCCACTAAAATACTTCCTAATGGAGAAGTAGTTGGAGAGGTAACAAAACCCTATACCTTTCATTACAAAACTAATAAACCGGAAAAGGATGGATTATTTTGCGAAAGAATTTTTGGACCTATTAAAAGTGGAATTTGTGCTTGTGGAAATTATCGCGTAATCGGAGAGGAAAAAGACGACCCAAAATTTTGTGAGAAATGCGGCGTCGAATTTATTGATTCTCGTATACGAAGGTATCAAATGGGCTACATCAAACTCGCATGCCCAGTAACCCATGTATGGTATTTAAAACGTCTTCCTAGTTATATTGCGAATCTTTTAGATAAATCCCTTAAAGAATTAGAAGGCCTAGTCTACTGCGATGTGTGATTTGATCGAAATACTGATTTTACAGATTCCGAATAAGAAACTGTCATTCCAGTGAATATAATTGGGATGCCCTGGATCTGACACGTCGCTTGGGAGGAGTAACATGAAGCTCAGAATTCGGGGTATAGTAAATACTCCCAAATAAAAGGGGTAATTGATCTATGGTCGGTTTCATAACAAATAAAGAGAAATTCCTATTTGTACCTCGTAAAAAAAGACTTTTTGTTTTGTGGAATTCACTTTTTTCCTTTTTTTTGGAAAGAAAGTATGTTCAAGAAAGTAAATATGTCATGGTTGCAGGAGGCTATTCATCGCATATAGACTGCAGGGACATCGTGCGCGGCACAACCATCGAGTTTAAGTCGAGACCTAAAAGATCGAATGGAACAGTACATAGACAAGTCAATCTCTTATGAATGTGAAGGTAGTCCCTTAAGTTAATTACTAAATTTAATTACTAAAATGAAGGTATTCATCATTATAAGGGTAGTAGACTACTCAAGAATTTTACACTTCGTCATTTCAATTTTAATTGAATATTGTTAAGAAAAAAAAGACGGAATTAATGTTTATCTTTACTAGGAACTTGAGTAAGGAGTAGATCATTTTGTTTGGGTTGGGAGTTTTCTTGAGAGAACTCCTTTCTTTATTTAGTGTACCTACTTGAGCCGGATGAGAGGAAATTTTCACGTCCGATTTTTGGGGGGGGGAGATCTTATAGTATCCTATCCCAATTTTTCTTTTGCTAGGCCAATAACTAAAAAACCCACTTTCTTACGATTACGAGGTTTATTCGAATATGAAATTCAATCTTGGAAATATAGCATACCACTTTTTTTTACTACCCAGGGCTTCTATACATTTCGAAATCGAGAAATGTCTACTGGTGCGATTGCTATCAGAGAACAATTAGCTGATCTAGATTTACGAATTATTCTAGAAAATTCGTTAGTAGAATGGAAAGAATTGGGGGAAGAGGGTCCCACAGGGAATGAATGGGAAGATCGAAAAGTTGGAAGAAGAAAGGATTTTTTGGTTCGACGTATGGAACTGACTAAGCATTTTATTCGAACAAATATAGACCCCGAGTGGATGGTTTTGTGTCTATTACCAGTTCTTCCTCCTGAATTGAGACCAATCATTCAGATAGATGGGGGTAAACTAATGAGTTCGGATATTAATGAACTCTATAGAAGAGTTATCTATCGGAACAACACTCTTACCGATCTATTAACAACAAATAGATCTACACCAGGAGAATTGGTAATGTGTCAGGAGAAATTAGTACAAGAAGCCGTCGATACACTTCTTGATAATGGAATTCGACGCGGTCAACCAATGAAGGACGGTCATAATAAAGTTTACAAGTCATTTTCAGATGTAATTGAAGGTAAGGAAGGAAGATTTCGAGAAACTCTGCTTGGCAAACGAGTTGATTATTCAGGACGTTCCGTTATTGTTGTCGGGCCTTCACTTTCATTACATCGATGTGGATTGCCTCGAGAAATAGCAATAGAACTTTTCCAGACATTTGTAATTCGTGGTCTAATTGGAAAACATCTTGCTTCGAACATAGGAGTTGCTAAGAATAAAATTCGGGAAAAAGAAACGATTGTATGGGAAATACTTCAGGAAGTTATGCAAGGACATCCTGTATTGCTGAATAGAGCACCGACTTTGCATAGATTAGGCATACAGGCATTTCAGCCCGTTTTAGTGGAAGGGCGTGCTATTTGTTTACATCCATTAGTTTGTAAGGGATTCAATGCGGATTTTGATGGGGATCAAATGGCTGTTCATGTACCTTTATCGTTGGAAGCCCAAGCGGAGGCACGTTTACTTATGTTTTCGCATCAGAATCTTTTGTCTCCGGCTATTGGGGATCCTATTTCCGTACCAACCCAAGATATGCTTATGGGGCTATATGTATTAACTAGCGGAAATCGTCGAGGTATTTGTGTAACTAAATATAATCCACGTAATCGCAGCAAGGATGAAACGAAAAGAAGTTCCAAAACTACTTATAATTATGAGTATACGAAAGAACCTTTTTTTTGTAATTCCTATGATGCAATTGGGGCTTACCGTCGGAAACGAATCCATTTAGATAGTCCTTTGTGGCTCCGGTGGCGGCTGGACCGACGCGTTATTACGTCAAGAGAAATTCCTGTCGAAATTCACTATGAATGTTTGGGGACTTTTTATGAGATTTATGGACACTATCTAATAGTACGAAGTATAAGAAAAAAAGAAATTATTTTTCTATACATTCGAACCACTGTTGGTCAGATTTTTCTTTATCGAAAAATTGAAGAAGCAATTCAGGGGTTTTCTCGTGCTTGTTCATATGGTACTTAGGAATTCTATGATACTGCGAAAGTGAGGTAGTCCCGGTTAGGCTGGGATTAGAGTTCCGGAATTTATATGCGAATCAAGATCGAAAAAAGGAAGTTTTTGAATCACTGAACCTAACCCATTGTCGAATCCTACTCAGCCCAATATGGAGGTACTTTATGGCAGAGCGGGCCAATCTGGTCTTTCACAATAAAGCGATCGATGGAACTGCCATGAAACGACTTATTAGTCGATTAATAGATCACTTTGGAATGGCATATACATCACACATCCTGGATCAAGTAAAAACCCTGGGTTTTCAACAAGCTACTGCTACATCTATTTCATTAGGAATTGATGATCTTTTAACAATACCTTCAAAAGGATGCCTAGTGCAAGATGCTGAACAACAAAGTTTGATTTTTGAAAAACACCACCATTCTGGCAATGTACACGCAGTAGAAAAATTACGTCAATCCATTGAAATCTGGTATGCTACAAGTGAATATTTGCGACAGGAAATGAATCCAAATTTTAGGATGACTGACCCTTTTAATCCCGTTCATATAATGTCTTTTTCAGGTGCTAGAGGAAATGTATCTCAGGTACATCAATTAGTAGGTATGAGAGGATTAATGTCGGATCCCCAAGGACAAATGATTGATTTACCTATTCAAAGCAATTTACGGGAAGGACTCTCTTTAACAGAATATATCATCTCTTGCTACGGAGCCCGCAAGGGGGTTGTGGATACTGCTGTACGAACATCAGATGCCGGATATCTTACACGCAGACTTGTTGAAGTAGTTCAACACATTGTTGTACGCCGAACCGATTGTGGGACCGCCCGGGGGATTTCTCTGAGTCCTCGGAATGGGATGATGCCCGAACGTTTTTTTATTCAAACATTAATTGGTCGTGTATTAGCAGATGATATATATATGGGTCCGCGATGTATTGCCACTCGGAATCAAGACATTGGAATTGGGCTTGTCAATCGATTTATAACTTTTCGTGCCGAAACAATACCTATTCGCACCCCCTTTACTTGTAGGAGTACATCTTGGATCTGCCGATTTTGTTATGGCCAGAGTCCTACGCATGGCGACCTCGTTGAATTGGGAGAAGCTGTAGGTATTATTGCGGGTCAATCGATTGGCGAACCGGGTACTCAATTAACATTAAGAACGTTTCATACCGGAGGAGTATTCACAGGAGGTACTGCGGAACATGTAAGAACTCCTTATAATGGAAAAATAAAATTCAACAAGGATTTAGTTCATCCGACACGTACACGCCACGGACATCCTGCTTTTCTATGCTCTACGGATTTGTATGTAACTATTGAGAGTGAGGATATTGTCCATAATGTAAATATTCCATCAAAGAGTTTTCTTTTAATTAAAAACGATCAATATGTAGAATCAGAACAAGTGATTGCTGAGATTCGGGCAGGAACATCCACTTTGAATTTTAAAGAGAAAGTTCGAAAACATATTTATTCTGACTCAGACGGCGAAATGCACTGGAGTACTGATGTGTATCATGCACCCGAATTTACATATGGTAATGTCCATCTATTACCCAAAACAAGTCATTTATGGATATTATTAGGAGGTCCGTGTAGATCGAGTCTAGTCTCCCTTTCGCTTCACAAGGATCAAGATCAAATGAACGCGCACTCTCTTTCTGGCAAGCAAAGAGATTTTTCTTCCAACCTCTCAGGAACTAATGCCCCTACTAGTTACAAATTCTTTAGTTCGGATTTTTATGGTAAAAAAAAAGAGAGGGGCCGGAATTTTTTAGACTTTAATCGAATCATATGTACCGGGCCTCGTAATCTCCTATATTCAGACATTCTCCGGGAGAATTCGGATTTATTGTCAAAGAGGCGAAGAAATAGATTTCTTATGCCACTTCAACCGATTCACGAACGCGAAAACGAATTAATATCCACTTTAGGTATCTCGATTGAAATTCCCTTAAATGGTATTTTTCGTAGAAATAGTATTCTTTCTTATTTTGATGATCCTCGATATCGAAGAAACAGCTCCGGAATTACTAAATATGGGACTATCGAAATGCAATCAATCGTCAAAAAAGAAGATTTGATTGAGTATCGAGGGGTTAAGGAATTTAAGTCAAAATCCCAAATGAAAGTAGATCGATTTTTTTTCATTCCAGAAGAAGTGCATATCTTACCGGGATCCTCCTCTATAATGGTACGGAACAATAGTATCATTGGGGTAGATACACAAATAACTTTAAATATAAGAAGTCGGGGAGGGGGGTTGGTTCGGGTCGATAGGAAAAAAAAAAGAATTGAACTGAAAATCTTTTCTGGAGATATTCATTTTCCTGGAGAGACAGATAAGATATCCCGACATAGTGGCGTTTTGATACCGATACCACCAGGAATAAGAAAAAGAAATTCGAAGGGATTAAAAAAACGGAAAAGTTGGATCTATGTCCAACGGATTACACCTAGCAAAAAGGGGTATTTTGTTTTGGTTCGACCTGTCGTCATATATGAACTAATGGACGGTCTAAATGTAGCAACGCTTTTCCCCCCCGATCTGTTGCAGGAAAGGGACAATGTCCGACTTCGGGTTGTAAATTATATCCTTTATGGAAATGGCAAACCAATTCGAGGAATTTCGTATAGAGGAATTTTGGATACAAGTATTCAATTAGTCCGTACTTGTTTAGTATTGGATTGGGATAACGAAAAAAAAAAAAAAAGTTCTTTGAGCAAAGAAATCCGTGCATCTTTTATTGAAATAAGTACAAACGGTTTGATTCGGCATTTCCTACGAATCGACTTGACAAAATCCTTTAGTACCGATATCGGAAAAAGGAATCAGCCCTTAGGTTCAGGATTGCTCTCTGATAATGGATCAGATTGCCCCAATATCAATCCGTTTTATTCCCTTTTTTGCGATTCTAAGGCAAGAATTCAACAATTCTTTAATCCAAGTCAAGGAACTATTCATACGTTGTTGAATAGAAATAAGGAATTCCAATCATTGATAATTTTGTTATCATCCAATTGTTCTCGAACGGATACATTCGACGTTGTAAAATATCACAATCGAATAAAAGAATCAATTAAAAAAAATTCTCGAATTACAATTAGGAATTCGCTGGGCCCTTTAGGATCAGTCTATCCAATTGAAAATTGTTATTCGTTTTCTCATTTAATAACTCATAATCCCATTTTGGTAACTAACTATTTGCAACTTGACAATTTAAAAGAGACTTTTCAAGTAATTAAATATTATTCAATGGATGAAAATGGAAAAATTTATAATCCCGACCCATGCACAGGCAATAACATTATTTTGAATCCATTCAATTTAAATTGGTATTTTTTCTATCACAATTATTGTTATTTTGAAGGGACATCTACAATAATAAGTCTTGGACAGTTTATTTGTTCAAATGTGTGTATAGCCAAAAATAGACCCCACCTAAAGCCGGGTCAAGTTATATTTGTTCAAGTCGACTCCGTAGTAATACGTTCAGCTAAGCCTTATTTGGCCACCCCAGGAGCAACTGTTCATGGGCATTATGGGGAAATCCGTTACGAAGGAGATATATTAGTTACTTTTATATATGAAAAATCGAGATCTGGTGATATAACACAAGGTCTTCCAAAAGTAGAACAGGTATTAGAAGTTCGTTCGATTGAGTCAATATCTATGAATCTAGAAAAAAGGATTGAGGGTTGGAACAAATGTATAACAAAAATTCTTGGAATTCCTTGGGGATTCTTAATTGGTGCTAAGCTAACTATAGTTCAAAGTCGTATCTCTTTGGTTAACAAAATCCAAAAGGTTTATAGATCCCAGGGGGTGCAGATTCATAATAAACATATAGAAATTATTGTACGTCAAATAACATCAAAGGTATTGATTTCAGAAGACGGAATGTCTAATGTTTTTTCGCCCGGAGAACTAATTGGATTGTTGCGAGCGGAACGAATGGGGCGCGCTTTCGAAGAAGTGATCTATTACCGAGCCGTCTTATTGGGAATAACAAGAGCATCTCTCAATACTCAAAGTTTCATATCTGAAGCGAGTTTTCAAGAAACTTCTCGAGTTTTAGCCAAAGCCGCTCTTCGGGGGCGTATCGATTGGTTGAAAGGTCTGAAAGAAAACGTTGTTTTGGGAGGAATGATACCCGTTGGGACTGGGGTCAAAGGATTAGTGCATCCTTCAAAACAACATAATAAGATTCCCTTGGAAACAAAAAAAAAGAATCTATTCGAGAGGGATATGAGAGATATTTTATTTCACCAAAGAAAATTATTTGATTCCTTTCTTTCAAAAAGTTTACTTGATACATCAGAACACTCTTTTATAGGATTTAGTAAGTCTTAATAAAGTAAAGTCTTCTTTCCTTTGATTTTGATTACCTTATTTTATTTGATTGAGTGTAGTCATTCGATTTAATAAATAATAATGAATAGAAAAGAATAATGGCTTGGGTCGTGTATCTACAAAGAATCTGCATTTGCATTAGGGCCGAAGGTTCCATCGGAACAATTTTCTATTTCAGTTCAGGGTTTCGCGTCTCTTTTTTTTTTTTCAAAAAAAAGGGGGGGATAAAAATGACAAGACGGTATTGGAGCATCAATTTAGAAGAGATGATGGAGGCAGGGGTTCATTTTGGCCATGGTATTAGGAAATGGAATCCTAAAATGGCCCCCTATATCTCTGCAAAGCGTAAGGGTATTCATATTATAAATCTTACTAGAACTGCTCGTTTTTTATCAGAAGCTTGTGATTTGGTTTTTGAGGCAGCAAGTCGAAGAAAACAATTCTTAATTGTTGGTACTAAAAAAAAAGCCGCCGATTTAGTAGCATGGGCTGCAATAAGGTCCCGATGTCATTATGTTAATACAAAATGGCTCGGCGGTATGTTAACGAATTGGTCCACTACAGAAACGAGACTTCAGAAGTTTAGGGACTTGAGAATGGAACAAAAAACAGGGATACTTAATCGTCTTCCAAAAAGAGATGCAGCTATGCTAAAAAGACAATTATCTCATTTGCAAAGATATCTCGGCGGGATTAAATATATGACACGGTTACCCGATATTGTAATTATCGTTGATCAGCACGAAGAGTATACGACGTTACGGGAATGTATTACTTTAGGAATTCCAACAATTTGTTTAATCGATACAAATTGTGACCCCGATTTAGCCGATATTTCGATTCCCTCGAATGATGACGCTATAGCTTCAATCCGATTAATTCTTAACAAACTCGTGTTCGCGATTTGTGAGGGTCGTTCTAGCTATATAAGAAACTCTTGATTAATAATAAGATAAATAACTTTAACCACATAGATTTTTGATATTTATATAATATATATATAATTGGTTACTATATTCCATATTCCATTCCGAATTTCAATCCGAATTTCAAAAAAGAGATAAAAATAACTGGCTATGTTTATGTAATTAGTGAGTATTCAAAATATTAGTTGGTATTCAAAAAATATCCGATTTAAGTAAGCAAAGACATGGTTTAATGTTGAATAATTTTATTTAAAGTTCGATTTTTCCGAGGTCAATATGAATGTTCTAACAAACACACTAAAAGGGTTATATGATGTATCTGGTGTGGAAGTAGGCCAACATTTCTATTGGAAAATAGGGGGTTTCCAAGTTCACGGCCAAGTACTTATTACTTCTTGGGTTGTAATTGCTATCTTATTAGGTTCGGCTGCTTTAGCTGTTCGAAATCCACAAACCATTCCAACTGGGGGTCAAAATTTCTTTGAATATGTTCTTGAATATATTCGCGATATCAGTAAAACTCAAATTGGAGAAGAATATGGCCCTTGGGTTCCTTTTATTGGAACTATGTTTCTATTTATTTTTGTTTCTAATTGGTCAGGAGCCCTTTTACCTTGGAAAATCATACAACTACCTCATGGGGAATTAGCTGCACCCACGAATGATATAAATACTACAGTTGCTTTGGCTTTACTAACGTCAACGGCCTATTTTTATGCAGGTCTTACCAAAAGGGGATTAAGTTATTTCGGGAAATATATTCAACCAACTCCTATCCTTTTACCTATTAATATTTTAGAAGATTTCACAAAACCTTTATCGCTTAGTTTTCGACTTTTCGGAAATATCTTAGCTGATGAATTAGTTGTTGTTGTTCTTGTTTCTTTAGTACCTTCAGTGATTCCTATACCTGTTATGTTCCTTGGATTATTTACAAGCGGGATTCAAGCTCTTATTTTTGCAACTTTAGCCGCGGCTTATATAGGCGAATCCATGGAGGGCCATCATTGAAATAATTTTTTTTTTCAAATTGAACGTATGGATCGAGCTAATTTACTTAGGGAATATACAACTACACCATATATAGTAATGAAAAAATGAGTAGATTAATGAATCTATTATTAAATCTATTATTAATAAGTCTATTATAGGGTTGTCTAAAAAAAGGAAAGAGATCAACAAAAAGATCTTTTTCCTAAAATTCCCCCTCGCCCCCTTAATTTAATACATACCTCACAATCAATATTCAATTTCTATATTATTATTCAATATATCAATAACAATATTCAATATGAAAATAATAAAAAAAAAATAAAAAATAGAATAAATGTAAAAGAAAAGATTCTCCATTTCGGTTGATTTTGATCAACGATTGACCAAAGGGAAATAGTAATATAATAAATAACAAATGGCTATAATAAATTGCATGAACTTAGATCAATCAAATGCTGTTATTTCCATCCAATGATTTGAGCTAATCAATTTGACCATTTCGATTTCTTCCAGTGTAAGAATGTTAAAAAAAAGAAGGAAAAAATAGTTTACAAAAAAAAAAGCGGAATTCCGAACAAATGACAATATGAACTAACGATATATTTGATTTATGCCCTACTTCTAAGAATTTAGATAGTTATTCCAAGGGAAGTCCGCCCCCGCCCCCCTCTACCTCTTTGGGGCTTTGAATGCTTATATGTTTTTCTTAATTTCATCTTAATTTCATCGGTTTACTTATTCTATTCAATTCTATTCAATTCCTAGTTAGAAACTAAGAAATGAATGAGTTTGTGGATAGAAAGGAAAAATCGATATAGATATTGAAGGAGTTTGAACGATTTAATAATACTATTACTTCAACCCGAAGGTATTAGTTACTTCGAATGGACTAAGAAAGTTATAATTCATCGGTTGATTGTAGATTGTATCATTAACCATTTTTTTTTTGGTACGAGGGGACTTATCATGAATCCACTGATTTCTGCCGCTTCCGTTATTGCTGCTGGTTTGGCTGTAGGGCTTGCGTCTATTGGACCCGGGGTTGGTCAAGGAACTGCTGCGGGTCAAGCCGTAGAGGGTATTGCGAGACAGCCTGAGGCAGAGGGAAAAATACGAGGTACTCTATTGCTTAGTCTAGCTTTTATGGAAGCTTTAACAATTTATGGACTAGTTGTAGCATTAGCACTTTTGTTTGCGAATCCCTTTGTTTAATTTTCGAAATAGGAAAAATACATATTGTAGTGCCTTAGACTTGTCATTTTCTTTTTTGAAGTATAGCAAGATTTAGATTTTCCTCCTCGCATTATTTATTCGTTGACAAAATAACCTACGGGAAGGGCTGATTTGCAGATGAGGAATTGGTATACCGACCCGACTCGCTTTCATCCTTCCCATTGGGAGTCCAGGGGAAGTTAAGTATTGCGGTTATTTTACATAACACCAATACTTTTCAAAATACAAAATAAAGGAATAAATAAAAAAGAAGCATGAACTGAAACAAAAAGAAGGCTATTCCATTTTTGAGTCTATCTATTATCTATAAAAGGAGATCCTATGAAAAATCTAACCGATTCTTTCGTTTTTTTGAGCCTATGGCCATCCGCCGGGAGTTTCGGGTTTAATATTGATATTTTATCAACAAATCTAATAAATCTAAGTGTAGTGCTTGGTGTATTAATCTTTTTTGGAAAGGGAGTGTTAAGTGATTTATTAGACAATCGAAAGCAGAGGATTTTAAATACTATTCGAAATTCAGAAGAACTCCGCGGAGGGGCCATTGAACAGTTGGAAAAGGCACGAGCTCGATTACAGCAAGTAGAAAAAGAAGCAGATCAGTTCCGAATCAATGGATATTCTGAAATAGAGCGAGAAAAATTGAATTTAATTAATTCAACTTATAAGACTTTGGAACAATTAGAAAATTACAAAAATGAAACTATTCAGTTTGAACAGCAAAGGACAATTAATCAAGTTCGACAACGGGTTTTTCAACAAGCCTTACGGAGAGCGTTAGGAATTCTGAATAGTTCTTTGAACAGTGAGTTACATTTACGTACTATTAGTGCCAATATTGGCATGTTAGGGTCGATGAAAGAAATAATTGATTAGTCTTTCTATTGTAGGCATTATTTTTTTGTTTTGTTTCAAAAAAGAATTAAGTTATGGTAACCATTCGAGCTGACGAAATTAGTAATATTATTCGTGAACGGATTGAACAATATAATAGAGAAGTAAAGGTTGTAAATACCGGTACCGTGCTTCAAGTGGGCGATGGTATTGCTCGTATTCATGGTCTTGATGAAGTGATGGCGGGCGAATTAGTTGAATTTGAAGAGGGGACAGTAGGCATTGCTCTTAATTTGGAATCTAATAATGTTGGAGTTGTATTAATGGGCGATGGCTTGATGATACAAGAGGGAAGCTCCGTAAAAGCAACAGGACGAATTGCTCAGATACCGGTGAGTGAGGCCTATTTGGGACGTGTTATAAACGCTCTAGCTAAACCTATCGATGGTAGAGGTGAAATTTCATCTTCTGAATCTCGATTAATTGAATCTCCTGCCCCGGGTATTATTTCGCGGCGTTCCGTATATGAACCTTTACAAACAGGGCTTATTGCCATTGATTCTATGATTCCTATAGGACGAGGCCAGCGCGAATTAATTATTGGGGATAGACAGACCGGTAAAACGGCAGTAGCCACAGATACTATCCTCAATCAACAAGGTCAAAATGTAATATGCGTTTATGTAGCTATTGGTCAAAAAGCATCTTCCGTGGCTCAAGTAGTAACCACTTTCCAGGAAAGGGGGGCCATGGAATATACAATTATCGTAGCAGAAACGGCAGATTCCCCTGCTACATTACAATATCTCGCTCCTTATACAGGAGCAGCTCTAGCTGAATTTTTTATGTACCGTAAACAGCATACTTTAATCATTTATGATGATCTCTCCAAACAAGCTCAAGCTTATCGCCAAATGTCTCTTCTATTACGAAGACCGCCGGGTCGTGAAGCTTACCCAGGGGATGTTTTTTATTTGCATTCTCGACTTTTGGAAAGAGCCGCTAAATTAAGTTCTAGTTTAGGGGAAGGTAGTATGACCGCCTTACCAATCGTTGAAACTCAATCAGGAGATGTTTCGGCTTATATTCCTACGAATGTAATTTCTATTACGGATGGCCAAATTTTCCTATCGGCCGATCTATTCAATGCTGGAATCAGGCCCGCTATTAATGTGGGTATCTCCGTTTCCAGAGTTGGGTCTGCGGCTCAAATTAAAGCCATGAAACAAGTAGCTGGTAAATTAAAGTTAGAACTGGCGCAATTCGCAGAATTAGAAGCCTTTGCCCAATTTGCTTCTGATCTGGATAAAGCCACTCAGAATCAATTGGCAAGAGGTCAACGATTACGTGAATTACTTAAGCAATCCCAATCAGCTCCTCTTGCAGTGGAAGAGCAGATAATGACTATTTATACCGGAACAAACGGCTATCTTGATTCATTAGAAATTGGACAGGTAAGGAAATTTCTTGTGGAGTTACGTACTTACGTAAAAACTAAGAAACCTCAGTTCCAAGAAATAATTTCTTCTACGAAGACATTTACCGAGGAAGCAGAATCTCTTTTGAAAGAAGCTATTCAGGAACAAATGGACCGTTTTATCCTTGAGGAACAGGTATAAAAAACCTATCACTCACCTTTTTGTCTTCAAAAAGTAATTTATTATCTTGAATTCAAATTATTCAAAAGGTTTTTCTTTCTATCGAAATCAAAAAAATATGGAAACAATTTGCGTCCAATAGGATTTGAACCTATACTAAAGGTTTAGAAGACCTCTGTCCTATCCATTAGACAATGGACGCTTTTCCGTCTGATTTTTTCATATTTTGACTTTACCCACCTAACTTTGTTTGAAAAAAAGCGAATCGGATTGTCTGGAAGATAGTTTTTCGAATTCTTTTATATTATATGATGAATGATGCCCTAATACTACTACTAATAATCTAATAGCTATATAGAGTATAGAATACAAACAGTTAAAAGAATAAACAAAAAGCGGGTAGCGGGAATCGAACCCGCATCGTTAGCTTGGAAGGCTAGGGGTTATAGTCGACGTCGATTCAACATTTTCAACGTCTCTAATTCAAAACCGAACCCGAAACTTTTGTTTCATTCGGCTCCTTTATGGATGTGAAAACTATTGCAAAAAAATTCTAATCCATAACATCTATGTCAGCTTTTTTGTCTGAATAGAGAAAAAAACGAATCGCTTTATAGATGATCCCTCTAGAAGAGAGTGATTATACCAATCTTTCTAGTTACTTCGTTCTCTATTTTTATTTGAGAAGATCCTGAGGAAAGAGATTTTTTTTCTACCGAGCTAAAAGAATAGGTTGATGACTCTAGTAAACTACAGTCATTATTTAAGAGCTATTTTGCTTCAATTTTTTTTGTATCGAAAAAGTTGAAGATTTAGTTACGATTCGAAACCTACTTTGTACCTGCATCCATGGATCTTTTATTCTTACTTATTCAAGGATTAATATTCTAATCCAATTCAATTCAAAAATTATGTTTCGCAACTTCATAATCCACTTTCTCATTTTCTAAGTGAGCATTGGATACAAATCACGAGAATCTATATTTTTCTCGATTATGTTATTGAGAAGTAAAGGGTTTAATCCTTTTTTTTTATAGAAAATAAAGTTTTTGCTCGGAATATGAATCAAACCGAAAGCAAAGACCCTTTAACTCTTAAAGGGTTAATAAAACGAATCACACTTTTACCACTAAACTATACCCGCCACAATGCAATTATTGTATACAATCGGTACTTTTGTCCAATAGGGAAATGGAGCATAATCCACATCCCTCAAATCATAAAAATTCGAGTGTTGATCTCCCTTTTTTCGTTTTCGACACACGAAATAAGGTTTCTTTACTCTTTTTACTCGTGCTTGAGAATATTTCCTATTGAATTTTCTAATTTTCTATTTAGATAGATTATAATTATACTTAATATAATTACTATTAATTAATTTATATAAATTAATTATTTATATAAATTATAAAAAAAAATAATAACCATTTTTATTTTCAAATAATATTAATTAAATATAATTAATTATTCGATCTAGAAATTTGTTGGAAAAAAAAGGCCCGGCTAGGGACTGCCCGGGCCCGCCCGTGACAATAAGAAGGGCCTGTCGAACAAAATCAACGCAAGGGGCTCTGTGGTCTTCTTTAGTTTTCTTTTTAGATTGTTGACACTTTTGAGTCCTTATACCTTCTTATACCTTATATGATATTGTATATTTTTTATGTTATTATATTTTTCACAATGAAATTTTTGATAAAAGTTTTCCATATTTATTACATATTAATTTAATAGTAAAATACTAGATAGAAAAAAATATTTCTTACTTTTTGTCTAATCTAATCTAACATAGTTATTATCTTTGTGAATTAGGAGAGATGGCTGAGTGGACTAAAGCGTCGGATTGCTAATCCGTTGTACGAGTTATTCGTACCGAGGGTTCGAATCCCTCTCTTTCCGTTTTTGTTGATGACTTGATTTTTTTCCAATTTTGCAAATCCTTTGTTCTGAGTTAATCATCAATTCTAAGAAAATGGAAAAGAGAACCCCCTTTTACTTTTATTCTTCACGTCCGGGATTACGCGCAGGATCATTAGATAGGAATCCAAAGATGAAGAGAGAGACAAAAAATATCACTACTGTGTAAACGAAGAGTTTGAGAGTAAGCATTACACAACCTCCAAGATAATTTTTTTTTTGAAAAAAGAGAATAGATCCTCCAATTTCTACCACATATATGCTATTTAGATACCAAGAAACTCGGTTCTTTATAGAAATCAGAAATCAAAAGAATTTCAAAAAGTTATTTTGAATAAAAGCTTTTCATTAACATTAACCAAAATCTCTTTCACATCTCCCATTAAATAGTACCCAAGACCATAAATTATAATTTCTAATTTATATTATATTTTCATTTGAATACAATAGGGCTTTGACTGAACAATGGGTGAAAAATAAGAAGAACAGGACGGGGTAAACCTAATTTCTCGTGACTATCAAATAAGTTGAATGTTTGAATCGGGGGAGGGGTTTACACTCTAAAACTTATCTGATCTTAGTAATTAGTAGAATTTTTTCTCGAATAAATCATGAATTTTCTATGATATTTTTAAATTAATGTCATCGAAAACTTACAGCAGCTTGCCAAACAAAAGCTAAAAGAAAAAAGAAGACAGGTATGGCTGGCATAATATCTACAATTGGATTCAAAAAAGCATAAGCCTCGGGCAATTTTCCTAAGAAAAAACTATTTGAATAAAGGTTAGAATTAAGACAGATACAAATCAAGCTAAAGATATTAAGCATAACATACATTTTTTTCTTGAACATAATTGTATTTTGATTGAGTTATTGAGATAAGTAAAAGGGAAAAATGAAGATCGACAAAAAATTCTTCTTTTGAACCGATAGAATCAAAAAGTCTCCAATTCTCAAAAGAGAATAGAAGAAATCATACTTTCATACAATATCTTAATTGAATTATATCTAATGATCAATAAATGAAGTTTAATTGTAGACCCACACCTATCCAAACGTTCGTAGGAACTCTGGCTATATTTAAATTGGAGTTGACAAACAACTACTCCAAATAGTACGCTTAAATTAGCGTTGACCAAAAAAAGTCGAAATGGGGCGTGGCCAAGCGGTAAGGCAACGGGTTTTGGTCCCGCTATTCGGAGGTTCGAATCCTTCCGTCCCAGAGGATAGCCGTTATCTATTCTTAGAATAGAAAAAAGATGGTTCTGTTTCAATTTAAAATTGAAAGTTGAATTTTCCGTGGAATGCCTTTCTTTCTTCTAACTTTTAGCCATACTATTTTTGATAAAATAAACCCAATCTAGTTCAAACAAATGGGTGTAATTTAATCGATTGAGGATCCAGTTAAGGTGAGAACATGGATTATGAGAATTTGAATTCAAAAAAAAGGTTGATCATATGCTTTCTATTTTGTATTTAGGGTTAGATAAGTTAGTTATTTAGAAACACCTTTAGATAAGTTAGTTATTTGGAAACACCTTCTGTTTCATATCTATTTTCCATTTTATTAACAATCGAGTTTTTACTAATTATCTATTACTCTTTGTCAACAGATCATAAGTAAATGGGGTAGTATAAGTATTTATGAATTTTTCTGAATTCAAACTATTTTGGTACGAATAGAATGCACTTAAACTTAAGATAGCAGTAAGTATCGGGGCCCTTTACATTAAAATAAAAAACTTTACATTAAAATAAAAAGAAGTACCAACTTAATTTGTACTTCTTTGGTTTGGTAGCTAGGAAGTTTGTATCCTCAATTATCCCGTTCTTTTCTATTACGTCCCATTAGTCCTATAGAACGGGTGACCGGATAAGAGTGAATCATTATAATCGAAGGTATTAATAATTAATATATTCTATTAATATTAAAATATCTGTGTCTGACCGAATTACATTAACAAAAAAATTTAATAAAAATCTAGTATTCTATCTAACCGATAACCGATGTATTTTCTTTGAATATTATTTTTTTTAGTTCCTTATTTAGTCCAAATAAAAAATGTCAATTTCAGTAACACTTTATCTTGCTATTCTTGCTATAGAATATAAATAGAAAGTAAGGAAAAGTTTCTATTATATATTTAGTATATTTCGCGTTCTATTTTATTAGAAAAAATATAATTTTATTAGAAAAAATATAATAATAACATTTAATAGAATTAACTAATAATAGAATTAACTAACAATTAAATAACAAAAGTCTTTTGAGTTTGTGAAAAAGTTTTGCGGTCCGACATTTTATTTTGGATATAGACAATTTAGAATGGTGGAAAGGCAGTTGTGCAGTTAAGTTAATAGATATGAAAAAAAATCCTTTTTCCTACTTTTTGTTGTATCTAGTTTATTTATTTATTATTATTATTCAATTCAATTATTATTCAAATATTAAAAAAAGAACTTAGACTTATTTTTTTTTCGATGATGATCAACTATTTTCATTTTAATAATTATTAAATTAATAATTAAATAATAATTCAAAAAATGAATTTACAGATCTCTATATATAATAAAAGAGTATAGATAGACGAAAAGAGTATAGATTCGGACGTATACAAAATAATTGAACCAATGACTATTCATGATTTCACAATTGAATCAATTCCATACCAATTCCAAATTCAGAGGAATGTTATGCTAAAACTTCGTTTGAAACGATGTGGTAGAAAGCAACGTGCGACTTGAAGGGCCCGATCCATTGTGGATTCTTTTTTTTATCCACCACTTTCTATTTCTATATAAGTGAAGGTGTTCGTGTCTCGACATCAGTTGGTAATGGAAATAGCCTATGGTGGAGCTCGAGTAGAACGTATTAATTCATTTTTAGGAGCAAGAATCTAGGGTTAATGCAAATAAATAAATTGGAACAACTTCGTGAATATCTCTTAGATATAAAAATCGAAAGGATCTGATTCGAGCAAATTTTCCAGTAAAAAGGACAATTGGTTGGAATTAATCAAAAATTTTCGATCTAAAGTGTATCGCACGGGAATCCATTTTTACTAAGATTCTTGGATAGAAGGAAATTCAAAATAAGGGGTATGTTGCTACCATTTTTAAAGGATTAAGAAGCACCGAAGCAATGTCTAAACCTAATGATTGATAAAGGATCCAAAAACAAGGAAACACCGTCTCAAAAATTGCTTGCCCAGATTTAAGAATTAAAATCTAGTTTTTATTTTTAACCAAAAGACAAATGAAATGGCGGTTGTAAAGACCACTCAATAAATGAAATTGCCTAACTATTGTTCCTTGGGCTATTTAAGAGTTATTTAATTTGAGTTATGAGTCCGAATTATCTCTTTTTTTCATTTTCAAGAACGAAGAAGATAAAAAAAGATTAAAATCATAGTTTAATTGATTGATCCTTTTTTATTTATTTTGTCATTTATTAGAATTGTAATTTTATACATAGATAAAAAGAAAATTTGGATCAAATTCTTTTCTTTTTTCTCGAGCCGTACGAGGAGAAAACTTCCTATACGTTTCTAGGGGGGATATTATTAATTTATATCTATCTCAATGAGCTGTCTATCGAATCGTTGCAATTGATGTTCGATCCCGAAGAGAAGGAAAAGCTCTTCAAAACGTGGGTTTTTATGATCCGATAAAGAATCAAACTTATTTAAATATTCCTGCTATTCTATATTTCCTTGAAAGGGGTGCTCAACTTACAGGAACTGTTCAGGATCTTTTGAAAAAGGCGTGGGATTTTAATGAACTTCGCCCTAATCAAACTTAATTTAATTAAAATTAAAAATTAAGGAAATAGAAAAAAAAGGGGGGGTGGTGACTTGTATATCACTTTGTATAATTTTATTCTACGCTTTTTATTTACCCCCCCCACTTTCTATTTCGAATCCCCTTTGTCATATTCTATAATATTCTATAATAAAAAAAGCGTAGAATAAAAATAAGAGAGTTAAGTTTGTATATTTTTTGAATATATTTGTATATTTTTTTGATTAGTGTAAGTTCAAAATTTTAGTATTTTCTACTACTAACAACATAATTTTAACAACATAATTTTAACAACATAATTTGGTAAGTTTTTATTTTAATTGCGTCAATTGACTTTGTTTTTTTTTTTGCGGAAGATTCTTTTGGCACCATTTATATTGACAACAGTTTATCGAACAAATATAATTCATTGTGATAAGTGAAGTGGATCTATTTATTTCCGTCCTATACCTATAGGTTTGTTTGCTTTTTTCTTTAACGTCGTTCAAACCTCGGTTCCTTTATATATCAGGTTTTTTAATTGATTAAAGAAAGGAGTAAATAGTGGGAGTCTATTCATTTTGTTATTTATCTATAATTTGTGTGTTTTTTTTTTAATTTTATCTGCTAAGTGATTTGATCTATTGATTTCATTTTTAGATTCTGAATACATATAGAAAAAGTTTTTTGATTGGGTAGTTCAAGGGTTTGATTGCCTCGTCTAATTTCTTTAGTTAGTTTTTTTCATTCTGATTGTATCTATTGAGTTTGTTATTTATTTATTTCGATTTCTGTTTTTCTTTGGGTTGCTAACTCAACGGTAGAGTACTCGGCTTTTAAGTGCGACTAGGATCTTTTACACATTTCGATGAAGCAAAGTATTCGTCCATACCATCGGTAAGGTTTGAAAGACCCCGACTGATCTTCAAAAGGAATGAATGGAAAAAATAGCATGTCGGGTTGAGGGAGAGTGTTTCATTCTGTCCGGATCAGTACAAAACAAAAAACTGTTTTGAATTTTTGGAAGGGAAGAAAATAAAGTTGGGTTGAATGAATAAATGGATAGGGCCTCACGGCTTCAATTAATTATAGGAAAAGGCAAAGTAACGAGCTTATTTTTTAATTTTAATTATTTCCTGATCTAATTAGACGTTAAAAATATATTAGTGCCTAATGCAGGAGGGGGTTTTGCCCATAAGTGTATTCACGTTTTTTTGAATAAATCCTAACTATTCTAATTCTCCATTATCAAACGGAGATATATGTGTCAAAGAAGCAGTATATTGATAAAAAGCTTTTCCGAACTCAAAAGAGCGATTCGGTTGAGAAAATAAAAGATTTCGAATCATGTTGCTATTCCAAAACATAGACTAAAAATGGAAAGGGCAAGGATAGAGAATCTGTTGATAAGTTTCTACCCGGCTCCGAGGTATCTATTCTTACTCGAATACTTTGTTTTTGACTGTATCGCACTATGTATCATTTGAAAATTAAAAAAATCTTGTACCTTTATTTCAAATAGAATCTTAAATGGAGGAACTCCAAAGATATTTACATCTTGATAGATCTCAAGAAGCCGCCTTTCTATATCCACTTATCTTTCAGGAGTATATTTACGGGCTTGCTCATAATTATAGTTTAAAAAGATCTCGTTTGTTGGGAAATCCGGGTTATGATAATAAATACAGTTTCCTACTTGTGAAACGTTTAATTACTCGAATGTATCGACAAAATCATTTTATTATTTTTTCTAATGATTCTAATAAAAATATATTTTTTGGTCGCAACAAGAATTTTTACCCGCAAACGATATCAGAAGGATTTTCATTTATTGTGGAAATTCCATTTCATATACGATTAATATCTTCTCCTGAAAAGAAAAGAATATTAAAATCTTATAATTTACGATCAATTCATTCACTATTTCCTTTTTTAGAGAACAATCTTTTACATTTGAATTCTGTATTAGATATACTAATACCCCGCGACGTCCATCTAGAAATTTTGGTTCAAACCCTTCGTTATTGGGTAAAAGATGCTTCTGCTTTGCATTTATTACGATTAGTTTTCCACGAGTATTGGAGTTGGGCTACTATTAGTGTTACAAAGAAACCTCATTTTGATTTTTCACCAAAAAGAAATCAAAGATTTTTTTTCTTATTATATAATTCTCATGCGTATGAATATGAATCTATTTTAGACTTTTTGCGTAACCAATCTTCTCATTTGCGATCAACATCTTTTGTATTCTTTCTTGAACGACTTTTTTTTTATGGAAAAAAAGAACGTTTTGTAAAAGTCGTTGAGAAGGATTTGCGGATTAGTCTATGTCTGTTCACGG